TGTAATAAAAGACGTGAGGAAATTCTGTCTTTTTCAAAGACAAAAATTTTTGAGGCGAAATACCCAAAAAGAAGTTTGTAAAAAATGAATCCGCCTCAACAATATAGAACTTATCTACAAGATATATATAGTATAAAAAAATCTCAATGTCGCCCTCAGTAGGATTTTCCAGTGCAACAATATATATTATGGTTTCCTCTTGTATAGACAAAGAAAACTGGGCCTCGTAAAGTTTTCCCACTTGTGGCTGAGACTGCAGATAAATCTCGTCTAAGACTCGCATCGGCGAGATAAATCTCATTTCGGATAAAATTTATTAGTTATCAGCACATTTTCTGGTGAAGAGTAAGTAGGGATTTGCTCAATTTGGCCTCTTGAAAGTGAGTGGACTTGAATCCTTAACTTTTCCACAAGCGCTTATTTATGGGGCTAGAGAATTATGGCCATTCCACCTACTTTTTCTTGCAAAACTTATAAGGCTGCTTTAGCCTTTTCAACTTGTCGGTTTTTACCACACTTGCGTCGATTCGCGTTCGTTAATTAAAATACTTAATTTTTTAACTCCCCAGTTAATTTCATTTTGTTCACGTCCTTCTGCAAAGGCAGCTCAAAGCTGCCTGAATGTTAATTTTAATTCGGAATTTTTAATCTGGCAATAAAACGTGGCGAGTTACGTTTGCTTTTGGAATTTGAAAGGCATTAATTGGAAGGGATGCTAAAAGAAAATTGATTGAAGTTAAATATATTAGAAGTCCGTGGCTGTACAGTTCAAGTAATTTTTTTGAGACAAATATAGGAGACCGAAAAAATTAAAGCTGAAATGGCACAACATCCGTGCATGAGAGCACAAAAATGTACATTAGCGATTGTTCTTCTCTTTCCTTTTTTGCTTTGCTCGTATATTTGTCGATATTAAGAAATTTATTGTTTTTAATAATTGACTCTTCTCTCACTTATGTGTGTAATATATTTGTGATCCATTCAGCGCATTTATCAACAAAACTATCCAAGTGGACACAATTTCAGGTTTTCACAGAACAATTATCAAGGATCGTTGCGGCAAATATTCCAATTTTCCATGCTCGCCAGTCAGGATCATCAAACTATTCGGGTCTGGAAAATCGTCGGCCAGCAAGGGACCATTTTCCATTTTCGTGCCCAACTTAAATTCAGTTAACAATTTGGAGTTGCTTTTGGATGGTCTTCCGGCAATTACTCCGAGTTGCCACTCTGTCAAGCCGTAACTGACTGAAACAGCATGCTGTGAATATGAAATTATATCAGGCTGATTGTTGATATTGTGACAGGCTAATTTGTTAATGTCCAATGTTGTAAAATCTGTTTTGAGTACAGAATGGAAATATATTGCGGTTGTAAATCGTGAAATATTCAACTCTACCTCTTTTGGTCCTGTCGAATTTTTCATCAAAAGCTTGTTTTCGCTTCAACGCTGTTTCAACAACTTTCTATTCATTGGCCGATACAAAGAATCTACCTATATGTTTTTTCGCTCGCACTGTCTGAAATATTATTCTACCTTCAAGGAAAACATCTTGAATATTTGTATTTAAAAGCGCCCAACATTTTCAATCGAATATACTGGATTTTGCCACTTTCACATAGTGGTATTGATTTTTTTAAATCAAATTCTTCAGATGCATTTTTAGCTCAAGTTAGTGTTTATGGTTGATAAGTTGAACTTGCTGAAGTTTGCTGTTTAGAAAATATGAAATATATTAATTTAATTAATGAAACCTGGAGTTATTGGCAACAAATAATTGACCAATCCAGACAGGACGAAAAGAGCAAAGCGGTTTTTCAGTCTTTCATGCAATGGCAATAGGGACCAAACGAAGTGCCAATTTCTCCAATTTTGTCGCTAACTTTTTACTGCATAAGCTTAAGACTTTCGTTCGACTTGCTCTGATGGCATTCTAATTTTTTGCTTAGTTAACACACTTTAACAAAAGGATGACTAAAACTGGCTGATGAAAATGTATGAAATGTTTAGCAGAAAAATCTGTAAATATTTATTTCTTGTGTTTGTAGTTCTCTAATGTTTGAAATGTATCTTTCTATTAGAAATCAGAAAATTATGAACTTAGAATTAGTTCTAAACGCCAAGAGATTCGGCTAATGAATTCAAGATTAACGATTTTGCAAAACATTCAACTGGCATATTTAAAAATTCGCTCAACAATTAAGATGAAATAGATCGGTATTATACATAAAGAAATGTATTTATAAAGAAATTATTATTTCATTTCATATTATTATAAATTCATTCTTCACAACAAATTCTTGAACTTTGACAGCGTTTGCGCGGTTTTTCGTTTTTCCATCATGCTCTGCTCTAGTGTTTTTTTTGTTTTTTTTTCTAATGAACAATTGGGGAGACGCGTCACATTTAAACACACATACTGAGGAGAGTTTTCATTAGATGTTTTTAAAATCTACACTGGCAGTGGACTTTTCAACTCGCTGAAGATGCGGGGCAAGATTTCTGTTCTGTAAACACAAGTCCTCGATAGATTGAAGTTGAAGCCCTAAATGTTTAAATTCTATGGACTTTCTGGGTTTTTTTCTCTTTATATGTTTGTTCGTTTTTCCAGAAACCCAAACAGGAACAAGCTGAATGGCAGAAGAAGTAAAATTTCCAATTTCTTTCGGGATAATTCGGCATTAAACGCCAGCGATTCAAATGTTCGGTCGAAAAAGTATTAGTTTCCAAAATCGACTTGTTTGATTGACTTTAGCGATTTTTTGATCACTCAAGTTTTGGACGGTTTTTTTTCTGCGCAGGTTTTTTCCTATTTTTATCAACTTTTTGCTTTTTGAAGGTGAGCAAAAGCTGATTTTTCTGTTTGTTTGTCAAAATGCTTTTGTATTTATTATGTATAAAGAAAATCAATTAATCAAAATCGCTAATTGAAAAAACAAGATTTACTAAATAGGTTTTTTGATAAAAGACATTGTCAAAATGAAGACAAAGTTCAAAAGAACAATATAATCATAATCCTACAGGAAAATTGAAAGTCCCCAATCGAAGTTCTTTAAAATGAGTAAAACTACCCAACAAAAAATAAACCAATTAAATAGACACAAAATCTCGGTTTTTCTTCTAGTAACATTTTTTTTAGGCAAAGTTAATATTTTTATGAAAAAATATAATAATAATCATGCAAAAAATGTTTCTCGCTTACTCATCAATGTTAAGTAATTGATGCTTGTTCTGGAACTTGTTAGAATATCAATGGAGAATATGCGAAAGTATACCGTTCTATTGTAGGTAAAAGATAATCGATACGAAAAACACCAAGCAAAGTAACAAAACAGAACGGAATTTTCCATTTAATGAAAATATCTTGAAATAATAAAGTTCGCTTAGCTGCTCGTCTCGCTTCCATGTGCTGCAATATTCTTGAGGCCAATCTTATATCGGCTTCTTAAACGAGTCTTCAGTTTGTAAATTACTTAATTAATTCAGTGAAGATGGCGGATTTATTACTGAAATCAAATTTCAAATTCTTCTTCTGACGATTCATTTAAACAAGCTGATTTAACTATTCAAGATTTAAAAAGCCTCAAGTTAGAACCTACCAAGACTCCAGGAACGGTTTTAAATATCACTGCTGTTTAGTCACTGCGTCAATATATTTGAATAAATTAGCAATAATTCAACATCAGTAGAGGTCTATAACATCAAAAATCCATATTGCTGTTTGTGGTGTAAAACTATTTGGATGCTGAACAAAATTTTGTAAAATTTGTATAGGAAGCGCACTTGGCACAACATGTAAACAATTCGGTCTGGAATATACATACAAGGCTACAACTTGTATTAATAGTTTGGATTGCGCCAGATGCAGAATATTTGCAAAACAAGCAAGGGCTGGGACACGATAACAAATCCATCGCCACATTGAACCAAATGTCCGGCTTACGTGATCAATTGTTCAGGATTGGAATTGAATATTTATCGATAGTTGGAATTCTAAACTGGACCAACTGCTAATTTTTTCCTATCGGTGTTTTGGATGTTGTTGGAACTTTCAATCAATTACTTTTTATTTGCCAACATGTAAAGCTCCATAACGAAAGCCTATGTAGAAAGATGACACATGTTTGCATAAAAAATTCCGTAACCATCTTAGTTTTTGTGAAAAATTATAGAAATAAATTGAAGAAGGGGGCTGAAAATGTTATATGGCTGTCGATTTTTTATTTCCGGTTTTCACCAAAGCTCGAAATATATATCGTGCATTAGAGCAAAGTCGGAGATTTACGAAAGGTAACCCCTGGCCGTTCTAAACCATAAAACATCCCCAGATTCACTTTTGGCATGCTAGAGATTATGGATGCGAATCGCGAACGAACGCAGGCTTTTCTGGGGTCAGACGGAGGAGGATTTCATCATCTGTTGAAACTTCTGCGAAGAAAATTAATTATTGAATACAATAAGAAAATACCTGAAGAGTTTTCAGATAAATTCGTGGTTGTTAAAGTTTAAACAATTGCTTCCAATTTTGTTTTCGGTGTTTTATATTCTGCTCTTTTATTCTGTCCAAGCTCCACATCACGCACCTTTAATTCGAATCCAATGGTCAGGACAGTTGGGACATGTGCTTTTCCGTTTCTGAACCCACATAAATCACCCGTCAGCATAACATGGTGTTTTGTGACAGTTAAACAAATTGATTCTCTGGCAAAATCAGAATAACAGTTGGAGAGCTCACCGATTGCGATAGAGCCAAGTTATCTAGACTCTGTTGAATTTTAAGTTGGAATTAGTTTTCAGGCTGCAAAATAGCCACGAAACCACTGTTTCATATGTATGCACTCTATGCCAAGCAGGTATTTGCTTGCTCAAAGTTTTGCACAACAAGCTTGAATAAATTTCATTTGAAGAAATCTGGAATTTTTGCATTCGTTCATTTGCTCCAGCTGATTCAATTCACTTTTAAAAAGCTTGAAAAATGTGTTTTACTTTTTGAAATGAAATTTGAATGTTAAGTATGCTACAGCTTAAATCGAGCTGTAAGCGAAAATTGCAATTAAAGAGCCACTAAATTTGAGGCAAAATAATCGACCAAAATTTGTAAAAAATATTAATCGGTCTCTACCATCATAAAACTCATGCTCTCTCTTAATGATCTGAAGCTGCAGATTGCAGATGTCGTTCTTCTAGGAAATCTTAATATGTTAAGGATTTTGTTGTGCACATCAATCTATTTGGTACCTTCCAACCACTAGGTTGACAAAATATTATCGCCTTACACCAAGTAAAGGAATACAAATACGGCCGCAGCTCTTAGCAGTCCCTTGCCAGTTACCGTTCTATTCCTGAAGCTCTTAGAGCTCAAAATTGATCAAAGGAAGCAGATTTCAGCCCTCAAAGTGCGTTTCCGTATTCCCGGCTTTTGGATATCTTAAGCCTCAGAGAGCGGAAAATAAATTCAAGGCGAGAAAACACAATAAGCAACAGATCTTATAATGCCAAGGAATTCTGAAGTTATCCCCTAGCTAGTTCGCTTTATTTTTCATAAGGTCTGCAAGGAAGATTTAGCAGTTCGGTGATTTATGTTCGGGAATATCTGGTTTTAAAATTGAATTAATTCGGTGGGTTTTCGATTATTGAAACGTCGATTTTTTTACAAAATGTTTAATGGGAGCTAAATGAGTCTTTTTGTGTTTCAGTTGGTACTGTTGTGTTAGCCGTTTCTTTTAGTGTTTGCCATCGAGCCTTGGGCTAAAAGAGAAAACTTGTTATTACGACCTAAAAAGAGACCCTTTCAGGCCAAACTTCTTGGCCCTGTTTACAGAGTAATAAAAGCAAACGTCACTGACGAGACTCTCATCAGAATGGCAACTTTGTCTTGTCTGTTTGTTTTGAAATTGGCGGACAATTTCCACCTTGTTCGTGTCGTTGACTTTGGAACTTGGCCCTTCACGCCCAATAAATCAGAATGGCGAGCTCGTGTGTGCTTCTATAGAATTTCCAACACAACAGATCCATAAAACATTCGGTGATGAAAAAGGCATTACATGAATGATGATTCAAACGAAGCCGATGGACCGAATTTCAGTCGGCAGGAAAGGTTGGCTCAAGTGGTTTGGAGTGAGCGATTTTTATCGGAGGTAAAAAAATGTTCTAAATTTATGGTGTGTTTTAGTAAAATGCTCACCTCAAAACTGATGAGTCCGCTATGGTCTTGGTCCAACGTGTTGAAGACGTAATGCGCATATTGACTGGAATTGACTGAAAAAGACATAAAAAAAAGCATTTAATTACATAAAACCAATTGCGACAACGCTAAAAATATACTCAGATCTCATTTCCGTTTTAACGAGAATCCACTTACGAAATATATGGCACATTCCTAGGCATTTTCTTAATATTCTGAGGCAATATTTCCAGAAACCCGCCACAAGCTATTTTCAATTATGTGGGTAATGTGGCAATTTTCCTCTCCAACGTCAATTCTTCTAATTCAGTTATTAAATTGACAAATTATTTTAAACCGGCTTCAAGAAATGCAATTTTCCTGGCATCTAATTAAGATTTTTGCCTGCTTTAATCGCTTGAAACCTCTGCAGGTTTCGGAGGACAAAAGAAAGTATCCATGATTGAACTCAGCTTCCCGCACATGCCTCAATTATGTGCAAATGCGGCTGCAGAGGAATAAATGACACCTCCAGCTGCCGCCTTGCGATCGGTTTTCATCGATTAAAATAATTGTTCGGTTAAAAAGACATCAATTTTCTTGTAATTACGCATTCTGGTTTCCAGGAATGTTTCCACTATCTGGATAATTGCCTTTCGGAGTCACAACTATTGATCTTTAAGAGGGTTCATGATTTATTTAGGTGTGAGAGTGAAATTTTACAGTAGTGAATTGTGTTTTTCGGATAAATAAAATTTGTCTAACGTAAAATCGAGTTTAGTTTATTGCTATGAGACTATGACAAAATTTCCAGTTTTCATGCTTACTATCTATGGAAGTAACAGTGCGGGACGATTACAATTTTTGCATAAAAAGTTCCAGTTTTTTATATAAAATCCATCTAAAACAGCCATCATTCAATTTCAAGATCAGTCTTTGCGATTTGCCTTAAGTGCTGTTGCTCATTTTTAGCCATCACTTAATTAAAAATTCAAGTTCCTCTTAATTTGATTATCGCAAAACCGCGGCGCAAGCAAAAAATCCGGCTGAAACTCTATTGCGGACTCTTCAATACTTTGCAGGTCAAATTTGCGCGATGCAGAAATCTGATGTGTAAACCGATACGTTTTTCCTTGTTAGTGCAAATAGTTTTCATAAATTCGCGAATAAATGACTCCAATTTACCGGGAACAATCGTGTAATTAATTAAGCGTCACGTGGAGTTTTTTGCTGTAAAATCTGGTCTCATTAAAATCGTAAATCACAGCACCGAGCACCATCATATTCCAGAAATTAAATTTGCACTCATGAAATCATTCAAAAGCTGAATGTGAATTAACGTGCTGTCTAGTTGTAATGTAATTGCCGGCGAATTTCAATTTGGTATCTTAAAATTTTGCACCGGAACGCCTTTGAGGCGAATTAAATTATGTTTGTAGTAGCGAACGAGGTGTTATTGCATTCGGTCTTCCAGCTGGAAATTCATTTGAACTAAAACGTAATATTTCCAAGGTGTAAAATGAGATATTCAGACAATTAGGCAAAATAGAGCCGAGCTTAATTTTCCAGAAAACATTAGGAAAATATGACTTAGTTGAGCCATTGTGCAGCAGTTTTCTTCAAGGAAATTTGTACAGACCTCAATTATGAAAGCTGCCTAGAATGCCTGGAAATATTGTGCGGTTTGTCTAATTAAATTTTTAATTAAGCGAAAGTAGGTGCATTGAAAAGCTTGTCTTTTGAACGGGAAATTTTTCTTTCGAATTAAAAATTCGATTGGAAATAAGGTAAATATCCAAATTGAGGGTTTTCAGTCAGAGGTGCTTCTTTGGAGAAGTAAAGTGCTACAAATAATGACTTACTGATGTTAATTTGCTTGTTAAATATTTTCGGTTTGGCACAACAAATCATCAGTAAGTGGTTATTTTTTCGGGTTTTTCGGGCGCTGTGGAAAATGATTTGTTCCTAACGGTTTGCAAGCACGAGTGCTTTGCATCTTCAAAGATTGTTTGCTCCACGAAAACAACAAACAACGAGGCTGTCATGCTTGCGAAACGTTAGGAAGAAATTATTTTCCACGACGCCGTAAAAAGCCAAATAACTCACAAGATTTCAAAACTAGAATCATTTTCAACCCGTTTGAGGACTTTCGTTGCTGCAATTTTTTTTTTCGGTCTTTAGCTGTTGCTGACCCAGAAATAAGGAGAACATGAAAATAACAATTTTTATTTAAATTTAGATACGAATTATTTCGGAAACGTCGTTGAACATTCTGTATATCGAACACTTGGAGGCTCAATCAAATTTCCAGACAAAACCAAACTCAAATATTGCTCAAAATGTAAATCCGGTCAATTCCTCCTCATTTCAGGGCTGCTTTTAGGCCCATCATAGCCTCCTTAACTTCATTAAATATTCAGGGCAAGCATAAAATCAATTCTGATTATCGGAGCAATTATTGTATCAATCCCTCACGATGCTACGCCAAAAATGTCTTCTTCTTCCGATGTTCTTTCTCTCAAGATGTTTCAAACGCGTTGGTTCAAACATGGTAATTACTTAAGGGTGAAATCAAAAATATCTTTAAAGTGTGGCTCATTGGCTTGTTAGTATTCTTTATCTTGGGAGGTATTATTAAAGTTGATAGAAGCCATTTGATTGGCATTACCCCACTTGATCGGACTTTTACCTACAAACTTAAATAAAAAAAATGTTTATATCACATATGAACCGTCTTCCCTTGCTAAATCTAGTTCCTGATTTATTTGAGCTTGTACAATGTTATTTTCCATTTCATACTTCTATTATTAGTTTGCGTTTTTCGCTTCAAAAAGTGGCGTTGTTTCGAGAGTCTTGATCCTGTGAACTGTTTTGTCTTGTTGTGAGTGTTCGCAAAATCACTTTGTGTCTCTGGCTGCTGCTAAAATGAGGATTTTTAAGTGAACTTTTGCATAATAGGCTAATTTGTAATGTCTTTTGGTGTAGTAATAAAGCTTATTTGCCGCTTTAAAGCCTTAAAAGTTCGTAAGATGTCTGAAAGCTATGAAAGCTAGAAAATGAGCAATTTTGAAACTGCAAGTTTGCACTCTTCTTCAGATGTACCGATTGCGCTCTTCAAACACCTTCCAGAATGAGAAAAATCGTTTTGCTTCGAACACCTGGACCCGAACAATATTTACACGACTTTGTGTAAAATTGGGAACAAAGCCTGACGTCAATTGATCTTTATTATCGATGTTATTGATGTGTCAATGCTCACAATGGATTTTAAATCCTTGAAAATGATCATGAGTCACACGGGTAGATTTATATACGCCATACTGCGTTTATTACTGGGTGCTTGTTTATGGCGACATAAACAGATCCGATTTGATTAAATTTAGCAGCGGTTCTGGAGGAATATAGTCTGGATCGGTGCACGATCATTTATCTTGGTTAGACGGTTAAGAACAGCTGACCTGAGAGGTATATGAGGCACCATTTTCCACGGGTCCGGACTTTATATTTCGAAATGAAGCAACACATGTATACATAACTTGCTATAAACAAAAGGTTTTTGTTTTTTCGCTGAAAACGTTTCAGCTGACTCTGGCAAGGTGTTTAAATGAAATTTTGCTAGGTGGAAAATTCCCGGCAGGGCAGATAGTTTAGTTAAGCTCACTTAGAGCGAGATTGAGTTGGCTCTATTACTGAGTATTTCGCCTCAAAAATGTTTGTCTTTAAAAAAGACAGAATTTCCTCACGTCTTCTATTACAGATTGATAAATAGTGCTCCTATTTTGCAATAAGAACGAATTATTTATCAAAAAGTAATCAAGAACTATCACCTAGAAGGTATCTTGCGACACACTTAGTCGTCTAGTCACTTAGTCACTCTAGGTGATAGTTTTTGATTACTTTTTGATAAATAATTCGTTCTTATTGCGAAATAGGAGCACTGTCAATCTGTAATAGAAGACGTGAGGAAATTCTGTCTTTTATAAAGACAAACATTTTTGAGGCGAAATACCCAACAAGGAGTTTGTAAAAAAATGAATCCGCCTCAAGAATATAGAACTTATCTACTATTACTGAGATTGAAATGTGAAAAAATCCATTTTTCGAATGATTGGTTGAACACATAACAATAATTTTGTGGGTATAGAATTTCTTTTGTAAATTTCCAAATTTGTAACAAAAATGTATGTTTTCGTGACGTCAAATCTTGCATACACATCAGGAAATTTATAACACGGCGGTAGCAGATAAAGTTGCTTCTTTATTAATCTGCTTAAAAATAAATACATATAACTGTTCCACTCAATGGGTTTGTTGGTGCTAACAATATCTGGATAAGTCATAGGATAAGTTCTCCGGTATAATTTGAATATTTTTAGGTTTATGGCGGTGTACGATGTCAATTTTTTGGGTTTATCTGTTATTTATTTTCTGCTTTTCACGGGAAGCAACAGTTTACGAGCAGACACTGCCAATTGTCGGCTTTTAAATTCGACAAAACAGTTTTCGAACTACTGTAATTATTGTTCGCTCGGCATTTTCTCTTGAACTTAAACGTGAGTTTTGTGAACTTAAAATCTTAAGTTGCTCCTTTTGCCAGTAACTAAACATATTGAGTTCCGAAGTTTCTACTAAATAAGTTTTTTCTTCCCATAAGGCCCAAAAATATAAATGCATATAACTGGCTAAAAGCACTGCTTAGTTGCGTTGATGGTAAAACCATCATCAATCTTTCCTGACCATGTTAATAATCCCCAAGTAAAGCCTGTTGAGTGCGAAGCTGATCCTGCAATTGGAATAGTTTACTACTCTCGACTTGTAAATTGAAAATTTGCTTGGGAGCTTTCAGTTCCATAAATATATGTTGAAGGAAAGGAATATTGAATACATTACCATGGAACGTGATTTGAATTGTAGATGGTATTTAAAACTTTGCTGGATAAATCTGACCAAAACAAATATCAGCTTGTAACTTTTCTCTATTATTTCCCTTACAGTTGAAATGTAACATCATAACTTTGAAAAACTTTGCTAATTTCTGGTGAATTGCCTCAGGCCCTAATTATTCAAAGAAGCCATGAACCGAAAGCGAAGGAGATAATGCAGCAAAAAGTTACTTTTTGTAATCGAAATTTCACGTATAAGAGTGGCTTTAAAAGGAGCTAAAATTCCTACAACAAGGCAATTATTTCCACTATGGAGGAATCTTAAAAGAACTTGTAATACCAGATTGGTTTTTATTAGACTTTCCGTTTTTATTAGGCTTCTCTGCGAAAACAACTTGAATGGTCTAATGGGTTGCGGCATTAAGACTATAAAATCCCCGGTTATGACTTCGAAAATTAGCTAAAACGTTCAGAAATCAACGAAAATAACAATTGTAAAATTAGCCAGTTCGCCGTAAATGAAGCCAAAAAAACCGTTCAGGCCAAGTAGAATTTTGCAAATGCTCCATTGTGGATAACATAAAATGTCTGGTATTAACATTAAACACTAATAGCATTTTATATAAATTGGAAGTTGAATTATTGAAACAGTTTGTCCAATATCAGATTTACAGATATTAGAAGTTTAGCTGAATTTTTGGGTCATAGAAGTGTTTTCAAAAAAAATATTGCAACATATGCTTCTATGATAGTTTCCAGACTATTTATTTGAATTTTCCTATTTAATTATAGTTCAATGCACACTTCAAACCATAAAGAACTCTTCTTCTGTAAGATTAGTTCAGTTCTCTAAGCCTTTGTGCGTACTTCGCTTTCAGAACAGCGATCAAAGTGCACTTTCCTTTTAGAATGTTCATCACTTTCATTAAGTTCTCTATGAACTAATATAGTTTATTTTCAGAATATTATCTATGAGCCTTAATTAATCTCCATTAATCTCTTGAGTTGAAAGTTTCGCATTTTAGAAACAATTTCCTAGCAGTCAAGTGTTATTTGCACTTTAATTCAATCAAAGGCCAGAGGCTTAAAAAATCAGATTCAGAACTGTAACTTGTGCGTATTTATACAGGTTTCCAGTTGTATAAATGGAATAAACTATAACCAGATTAAACTTTCTAAAACTGTAACTTCTCAACGTATTTTTGACGTTAAGACACTAAGCTAAACTAGATGGGGCAGAGTGATTTTTAAATGAAAAGTCAGCAATTATTTTTAAAACGAAACTGGTTAGTTTTTGGGTTTTCCCAAACTCAAGGAAACGGCATTTTTTCACGATTTTTTCACGCCCGCCTAAAGGCCCGCAGAAGTCACCATTTTCCCTCAATGCAACTGATTATTTGAGTTGAAATTTATATGAAAAATGTATGTTAACTTTCTGTATCAAATCTAGAAACTATTGAGATACTTTTCTGTCAGCGTGCTTATATATTAATATTTTGCAAATAAAGTCAATTTCATTAAAAGTGCATTAAGTTTCCAATGAAAGAAATTTAGGTGAGCAGGGGATGAATTAAAAAATTGTGAAAATGTTACGAAGAAAATATTTTTTCCATTCGTAACATGACTATTTGAGATTGATAATACTTTGATAAAAAACATGTAGGTCTATAGGTCTCTTATGAATAATATTTATTGTGCCAGTTTTTGCCAAATATATGCAAAACATTTTTTTTGAAAAACGAAGCTTGTTTTAAAGTTTTCATAAACTCTCATAAAAATGCTAGGATGACTGCAACGCTAAAAAGTCTTGAAACTCAGCACCCAAGCCAAATGTTGTTTTTTTCGCGTTACAGAAGAGTCTAATGAAAACCAATTTTCTTTGGAATTGCTCATTTCTAGTTGGATGTTAAATTATTTTTCTGCAACTAGAACACATTTCGCTCCAGTTGAGCTTCAAAATTTCATTTACTTTGTAAATATTTGCTTTGTTTTTACGACATTAGTGTGGAACATACGCGCATATTATATGTAAATTATCTACCTCTGTGTCCTTTTATAATTGGATTTCAGGACATAACTGAGTAGGGGAATGTAAATTCAACATACATTTTCGTCAACAAGTTTTATCAAATTTTTAGTCTTACAATGGTAGAATCGAAATAAATAGATCGTCTGAGCATTTATGCTTTCTAAAGTATTAAATATTGAAAGGGTCAAATGGTTTGATCATATGGACCAGCAGATCTTCAAACGCTTCACAAGTTTTGAATGAATTTCCGGAAACAATTCACATTTTGCGGCCTGGAAAATTTAGTGTTTCATTGATGCCTAATGTGAACACTCACGTTCGCAATCAAACCCGGTCACGTGAAAAACGGGCTTACTTACGCCTTTTTCACGCTTGGATCGAGCACATCTGGCGCCACCCGATAAATATTCTCAAAGTTTCCGTCGGGGGGTATTGCTAGACTTAATCTCATTGGGTTTCACACGTTTCCACTTTGAATATTCAACAATAGAGATATTGAACGTGTCAAACAGGAAAATTGCCACCCCTACGAAAAGGGCTCATTATCGGAAAAGTGTTCTCAGCTGGAAAATGAAATGTTCAAACAGTAGGAAAGCGCTCATCTTGCCATAAGCTTTTATTGGTTACACTTTGACTTACCTCCCTGCGGAAAAAACTGAGCGTAGATCATTTTAAATGTGTCTTCCCTGACCACGCCTGTTGGACACTCTGCCTTAAAGCCCCGGTAGATCTTCTTAATTTCCTCCTGGGTGAACCTGGTGGCCTTCGAAAGAGACTCCAAGCTTCCTGGTCGGTATCTAGGTGGAGTCTCGAGGTCTTCTAATTCAGAATCTGGAATAAATCGTACAATTTTGATCTCAATCACTCAACCATCAAATGAGTCAAAGTATCTTTACACGCATACGAAATTTTTATTCTCATTGTCCATTGTCCAGTTTACATTTCATTAATTTTTCTGGATGAACGGCTAGCGGAAAGCAAAGTAGATAAAAAAGGGCCAACCCTAAAGTGCCGTACGGATTAGGTCTGCATTTTCAAACAAGACAAGGGTTGTACATCCCTTTTAAAGTATTAACATGAATTGTTTATAGGGCAGGTTTTTTTACGTCCGTCAAAGGCATTAAAGGGAAAGTAAAAATGTAATCCTTCGGCCGGTAGGATACACCTTTCACGTCGTAGAATACAAAGGGCAGGTTTGTTATTTTGATACACTTGGGCCGGTAATTTATGTCCTTTGCTGATATAATTGGCTATTTAACTTTAACATTGAAGCTGAGCAGGAGACGTTCAAACTGATATTATTAGTATTTTTTAGTTTTTCAGTTTTTAGGGTTGGTTCTAGTTCAAAATTAGCTATTGAATGTGAAAAATTAAACGTTACGGCCATTGAATTGCCATCACTATCTTCGAAATTTCAGAAGAATGTTTCCGTTTCTCGGCATCCGTTCACGACTTGGAATACCTAAATAATTCAGGAAAAGTCTCAAGCCAAGTACCCCATTACTTATTTATGCCGGTCGAATAAAAATTTCCTTTATTTCGCTGTGCCATTCTATTGCAGATTTATATTGACGTTCCATCATTATCTTCTAGTTTACTGGGCACATTTGCAAGCATTAGAGGATATTTAAATTGTGTATTCGTTCCGGGCGATTTTATTCGAGACCAAATTTGATTTTAAATTGGAGACGTTTTCCTCTCGATCACATACTTTTATAGCCTAAGATCTTTGATCATTTATTTGTTGCATTTCATTTATTGGAACTGCTACTGGCATAAATTACGGTCCAGCATGTTTATGGTTTGGCACAATTGCAATAAGAGTTTGTCTTCAAAGAGCGAAAGAAGTTCTTCAAATTGTAGTTCATGGTTACAGTTTTTTCATATTTCTTACTTGTATTTAAACATTTCCATTTTTATTTGACTATTTCGTCGTTTAGGAAAGATATTTTGAGAACGGGTTTCTCCTTTTTTGGCCTGTTCATCCAAAATATGTTTTATATTTAAAATTTCCAAGTAAAATTTGTGCGTTTTTAAAGAGATCTTCATCCCACCCTCGGTAAAATAAAAATAAAAAATTATTCGAAGAAATGGAAACCCAATTTGATATATTGAATTTTCTCAATTAGTTAATATTTTAGATTTTTTTACGCCTTTATTTAACTCGTCTGGATAAGAACAAGATACCTACATTTTATTAAGAAATCTGAAAAACGTATTTCCAGCGTCTTTTAATGGCCATTTCCCTGCTGTGTACCGTTTTTCTGATTGTTTGCATTGCTTCCTTCGACGCTAGGTTTAGAAATTGACTAATTATTCCAGCATTTTCTCTGTTGATCCCACTCGATACAAAAGACTTTTAATCTACGCATATTCAGAGCGTTTGGAAACTAAACCGGCGAACAATTCATTTGATCTCAAAAGCCGTATTCAAAAATCCTTCCTAGCAAAGGTTAAGCGTCTTGAAGATGGACTTTCAACACGTTTTTTTTTTCATTTTTTGGATTACCTTTTTCCCAGTGTTAAACTCAGGGTATGTGTTAACTCTTCAATTTTTTTGGAACATTTTACATCAAAACCAAGAACTCGAGAGAATTTTAGAGTAAAACGGTCTCTTATTTTGTGGGTCCAAGACGTGTCGTGATCAAGACGATTCTATTTGAAAATTTTCTGGTTTTAATTACCCGATCATTGCAAAATGAGAAAGTTTTTTGCATACTTGATTACAGAAAAGAGAGAGTTTTGTGAGTAAATTAGGAGTTTTCTATTAAAAAATATCACAGGAAATGACAATGAATTCAACGGAATCATACTTAAATTTTACTTTTATCCATAAAGTATAATGCTTTTCGCCGCACGCTAAATTCATTTTCCATACTCAACTATTAATGACTATTAAAATAGATAGATAATAACGCTTTGATTGCCTTTCCTTATCTTTGTTCTGTTCATAACTGAAAATTGTACTAACAAAAAATTAACCGATGGCTTTGAAACAATGGAAGGCAACCGTAGATGCCAAATTTAATATTTTTCAGGGAAAGTCAAATAGAAAATCGCTTTTTTAAGCTGCATTGAATGAGCACACAGTTTTGATTTATTTGGCAAATTTATCTAGGCAAAGCAATTAAATTAATAAATAAAAATAATGAGCAACTTAGGGTGCATGTAATTTCGATGCAGACAAATGTTATTTAGGCTCTCATTTAGGCCCATACGAGAGAAATTTATGATACAAATAAGATATTTCTTTAAGAAAAGTCTGAAGGCAGTAGAAATGAACGTAATTTTTTCACTTTGTGATGGAACCGAAGCTAAAGAAAAAAATGTTTGTTTATTTTCCTTGTTCTGGAAAATATTACTTTCAAACACAATTCTCTAGAGTTTGTTCTAGAATTCTAGTAAAGTATATCCGAATTTCACGCACGAATTGACTCGAATTAGCAGGCCTTTAACACAGAGCTTAGAATAGCCTCGCATTTCACAAGGCCTGAAGCAAGGCACATTGTCAGCTGCTGGCAACTGGAGAATAAAAGGATTTCCGTGTAGAATTATAATAGGATTTTCTCCCGTTTTGTCTTTAATTTTCGTGTCGAATTAGAGGCACGCAGAGCTAAATCTCCAAGGGCCTGAAAGTGAACAGGGAGAAATCATGTGCATCGTCGGTCTGTGGAATTTTTGCCACTAAAGCAAAATAATTTGGATTAAAAGCACAGCTTTTAAGATAATTGCTACTATTTGTTGAATAGCTATACTTAATATGCCTTAATAGGGGATAGGAATGGAAGCCCCGGAACTATGTGGTTTTTCTACAATATTATCTCGTTATGGGGACATTTAAATTTTAAAGTCAAGCAGGTGAAGTTATTGCTGCATACCTTGAATAGTTCGAAAGTACACCTTCTTCATTGATTCAAGACGCAAAACTCACTGGTTCTTCTTCACTTTACATGGGGTCGTCATAAAACTGACTTTTGATATATTTGTCGGCTAGTTTAATATCTTCCGATGAAAGGCTTTGAGGATCCATTGAAACAGCCAAATTAACACAACACTTCTCAAAATTTATCAGCATGTGTAACCTTCCTCAACTTCTTTTATATTTGCGTCAGATTCGTTAATTAGGGCACTTTCCAATATGTTCAAACAAACAACGGCCGAATGAATGACCGGACGCTACTAAAAATGTTTTTGAGTCTCAAAGATGAGCCGGGATCTCGTTAACATATACAACATTTGGGCTGTTTATTCCGAAACCGAATGCTAGTTTACAGTACTAACTCGCTACATATTCAGGTTGTTTTCGTATGCATGCTCCAGGTATACACGCAATTTTCTCCAATTGTACTATAGCAAATTGTTGTCCAGTTGTCTGAAAAATTAGCAAATTTTATTGATGATTCAACACATTTTCACTTCGGTTTCGCATAAGATCAGGCAGTTATAGAACTAACAAAGGGAGTTGTTGGGAAATAATTGAAACATTACAATAAATAATGAATGTTTGTTAAATGAGCAATAAATCTAGGGGACTGACACACTGATAATAAGATAATGTAACACTGTAAGTAATGAGGATTCAATTAATCAAATTGATAAAAAAGTTGATAAACACTTGGTTTCAGACATTAATTGTAGAAAGGACAATACAAACGCTTCAGGAAATGTATTGTAAAACGTACTCGATTTCGACTATGAATGATAAAATATATCTATTGAAAAATCGCTGGTTAACAAAGGCACAAATTTGCTTTAATATTTTGCCTTTTTTCATCAGCAGCATCTTGGATTTAATATATGAAGTAAGGCAAAGTCGTAAACAACTTTGTCCTGATTAAAGTGGGAAAAGGACTTTTTTGCTTTTCCAGCGAGGATTTTCCAGCTTGACGCCACAATTAGCTTCTGTATCCTAATGGCTTGACGGATAAAATTTTTAATAAAAAATATAATGGAATTTTATAAATCCTAAAGTTGACACCTGATCTGCATGTGTACATAAAGGGCTAATCGGCCGTAGATAATCGAAGCGAATTGCTCAACAAATAAGTACCACGATTTTAATATTTTTGTAATATAGCATCTGGGCCCTTTTTAAATAGTCTAAAAGCATTATTAATATCTAATATATATTCTCAAATATTCCAAGTCTATTTTTTTAAGCCAAGTTGGAACTGGAATTGGAACTGATTTTCTAAGGTTTCAACTGATGTACCATACTTTGTACAAAAGCGAGCAGATGCTGCTGAAATTGCAAAGTATTTCGGGAACTCCAGCCACATCTGATTATTGACCTAACAAATCAGGTTGTTTATATTTGTTAGTGATTCAGTGTGTGGACATTTTAATTGGCTTTTTAATTAAGAATCGATTCATTAAAGTGCAAAGCGATATAGCGCGAAATCATCTAATTTATCGACCTATTAAATTGCTTTTGTTAAATCGATATATTATATTTCCCTCGATCGAAATGGCAATTTTAAATTCAATTTTCAACCAGAGATTCGGATTACTTCCCCATGTGAGGGCTGCAATGTTATTAAGGCACGTCGGACCGGACTAGAGTCAACATTGCGGTCTGTTGGAGCTTCAGTTAAATATTTGCTTGTGTGGACAAGCCTATCGTGAAATTCTCCTGTTTGGCATTTGGAAAAGTCTCTAAGGCTTCAAATAAAGAGGCAAATTGATACATCATCATACATCAAAGAGCTTTAACTCAGGCTAAAGCGTTAGAAAGAGTTACAATGTTAACTAAAATTTAATGTACCCGTCTCGAATTTACCTATCGATCTGAATAAAACCCATTTTATATTTTGTTTAGTTTTGTCCCTTACATGTATGTTATAACCTTTTTAAAATATCCTCAACCACAAACCCTTCAGCTCTTTCAAGGCTGCTTTCGTTTCATTTACGGGGCGATAATAATATGCTTTGTTTTTTTATGAAAGGAATACCTTAGATTCTTAAAGGAAAACCGTAAGCAGGCTTTGCAATGCACTCAATTACTTTACTCACTTCTTGTCCATTAGCAAATTGCCTCTTCATAATGGATTAATTCTATCAACAAGCCATTCGGATATTGACGTGAAACTCGATCAAATTACACTAAGACCCACATTGCAAGCATTAACAGTAATTCCTGCAGTTTGACTATTTAGAGCCTCTTGACTCCTCTTGACTAAACTAAATTAACTTTATAAGAGCAGGAACTTCAAATTTCAGAGTTAGCCATGCAGGAACCGTCCACTTTGTGTTCTCTTTGATGGATTTAAAATTCCCTTAGTTTAATGCGCGGCAAGAAAATAGTTAAGATTCCACAACGAAAATTAGGACTGTTAGGCAAGTTGGTAATTGTTCAACAACTTAGTCGAAGGCTTTTAATTAATTAAGCGCCCTTTGTCTTGCGTCTCGATAGAATTTGTGTCTGTAATTATATATTCTGGGTTTGCTGTTCGGTTAATCGACTAAATATGTTCGATATCTTCCTATTTTATCCGAATTTAATTGTTGATTAAGTAATTTAAAATTTGTAGATATCCACGAGGCTGGCTCAGCCTCAGGTTGTCATCAGTTTGGATTTTTCTTTGCCATTGTCTTTGTTGCGTCAATTTTCTTGAATTCAGTTTCTTCTCTAGGTTTTTGTTTTGTTTTTCAGCTTTTCTTCTTTCGATTGAAGCGTTTTTTCTTGATTGCAGATTCATCTGAACTTATTTGTCAAATATTCAGACACAACAGCAACTTGTACTGGTTAACCAAAAATCATTGATTGAATTTAAAAAAATGTCATCAATAATACATTCCTAGTTTGATTATTATGTTCATTATGTTTAAATGTTAATTGATTAAATTCATAAAATCGGAGTAACTACAACTTTGATGTACTTATCAACCGCACAGATTTATGTATTTTAAATTCTGATGTATGATTGTTTGTTGAATATGTATTTTATTTATTTTTGTGGAAACAGAAAGTTGGCTTAAAAATGAGGCAAAGCGTGTAGAAGTCTAGTATAAAGTTAAATATTTCTCCTCCTTCTAGACCAAAATATTAAATAACGCAATCTGAAGAAAATCGAATTATACGATCTGTAAATTTCAGGTTGGTGTTTCGAGTTTCATTTGCATTTGCAACAGCATTTCCTCTCTTGAAAGCATTTTCCAGTGTGATGTTGGATGGTTTTGGCGATAGTGGTTTCCATTTCCTAATTTTTCTGTTTATAGTAAAGCTTAATATATTTTTTTAAAACCAATTCTTAACTGTAGATTTAACCTTTCAATTTTCTACTGATTTCAATTAGCCTTTCCGGTTTTACTACTGTCATTATTATACAATGTTTGTAAATGTTTCTTTCACTCTATTTTCTGTATTTTTGTGTGTGGAAGAATGTATTTGAAGAAAAATGGTTGAAAGAATGTTAAGAATGACACGGAACGAACCAAATTCAGAATTGGTTGGTTCGTTTTAAAATTCATGTTTTGTTTATAGTTTTTTTTCAGTAGTACTCGTGTCACGTTTTCAATCGCTTTTTTCAGAATAATTGTTGTTTTGTCTTTGGGCATACATTTTTTATTCTATTCCATTCAATACCTTGATTGATTTTTAGATTTTTTTAACTTGAATAAAGAAAATTGAACAGTATAAATTTCAACCTAAAAACTATTGATTATTTAAGAAGAATTATTAATATTAATAAAAATATTAATTAATTAAATTTTATTAATTACACATTTAAATTAACCCGAATAGGAAAACGATAAATGCTTTATCTTTTATATTAATTAATAGGGAACTTATCTTTAGCTATCGTTATTGAAAGGATTTCATTTAGTCACAATATAAGTTATAGCAGTTGCTTAATTTTAAGTTAATTTTAATATATTGGTGAGGAAAGTGCATTGTTCTTTATGCGAAAAAAGTGGAACATGTGCCAAAATAAATCTATTTGTTACCGTCCTTCCAACCTTCGATATTCTACTTGAATTATACTTGTTAACATTTATTTGCTGTTTCCTTCTGTCGTATGAGGCATTTCATACATAATCCCATTGCTGATAAGGTGTGAATAATGAGTTTCACACTTTGAACTGAGTTGAATAGAAGAAGCGGCGTTTCAGTTGCGTGTGTTCAGTATAAATCTGTGTTTTATGAGTTATACGTTTGTGCAAAATATAATTGTCTGTTTAAGAAGCAATTGAAAAATAATAATTCCTGCGTACCAATTAAAACAACTATCAATTTGGCTCTTTTCCTGCCATGCAGTTCTAGGAACGGTTCATTAGTTAATAAGATATTTCCTGCTGACATAAGTAAAGCTCGTCAGTTTTGGCTTAAAGACATTTTTTAAGCCCATTTGGTGTCGTTTAAGAACAACTTCTTGCTTAAAACTAGGATTAAACGCGATATTGATATATCCTGCTTTATTTTCTTCAACTTTCCTTTTAATTTCTAACAGCCATTTTTCAAGCAAACTACCATAAAGAAAAGGAACTGAATAAGTGAATAAAGTGGTTTATGAGTGAACTGAGACGGTTACCTAGAGCTGACTTGACGCCACTCCAAGCTTCTCTCACGTATGTGAAGATTCGCCTGGGAAGCGACCTTTTGGGCTTAGGTTCTTCCTCCTCCTCCTCCTCCTCGTCGGTGCTCTCCTGCAGCTTCGTAGAACAACCCTGTAATGGTTCGAGAGCGCCTGGGTGCTGATAACGTCCTCTGGAAATGACTGCAACTGTCGGCTGTTGCTCAGCGGTCCGGACAATTCGATTCCTGTTGATGCGTTGATCGTGTTGCTGATCATGCTGTTGTTGCACCATTGGGTACATTATGTGCCCGGCATTTTAAAGCCGAACATGCCCTTTTCGCGTCTATCTCACCTAGCGCATGATTGGCATAGCGGACTCCAAATTCAATGGCTGGGTGTTAGATGAGGAGGAGGAATTTGAGTAAATGTGTTGGTTAGTGCGGCTTTAGCGAGGACACCTGCAATTGAAAGGGGGCTTGTTAGTTTTGTTAGAGAGATTCGCCGGCAGTTTATAATTTATTAGATTCTTTCTCATTTGGCTGACAAAATCGACTTCTCTGTTTTATTTATCAGGCGAATATTTAGTGCACCAGCAGGCAAGTGGTGACTGGCGTACCGCATTGATTTAGCGCCGCAAGTCATGCAATTACACATTTATGCCGTAACCGTCTAGTCTAGTGAATATTAATGTCCATGAGAGGCAATTTATAAAATCCAGATCCTCGCTTCAATTTCCAAAGTTGGCCTTAATGCGGAAAACCTCTGCTTACTAATGCCGTGTAACTCTTGAATTAATTTCTGGGCCGTGAAGGGAAGAGATCGGATTGTTTTAAATTTGGATATTTAAGCAGAATTGGAGATATGAAATTTATGTTCTCGAGCTTAATCAAATAAAAATTGAGTTTTAGGGGACACAACCGCAACTTTCCCAATAACGTTCAGCCATAATGGGGTTTTCGGTTTCATAATCGCTTGTGGATTTTTGTCGATATATAAAAAGGATGAATTGCACTCTTGCAGATTGTTTGATCTGTCAACAAATACTTTCGCGCCGTTTGAGGTAACTGCACAAAAAAATCGTTCGGAGTTAAGTCTGGTGATCTAGGAGGCTATTCAATAGGTTCTCTCCTTTCTATACWCCGATTGAGAAAATTTTCGTACGAAAATTTACTCACAAAATCAGTATAGTGTGGAGAAGCACCATCTTCTTCGCCAAGAGAGCCAATTAATTTAAGAAATAGTGTTTTTTACTAAATTATTATCCAGATGGCACATTTTGTCTATCGAAATAATCTTCAAATAACTCTTGCACTGGAATAACTTTTTGGAGCTTTTTTGAGCTCTTGAAGTATTCGGTGAAAGACCAATAAGAAAATAATCCCTCCAAACTTATTTAATGTCTAACTGACCGAAATATTCCAAATAAATATCAAACCACCAAACTCTAATGAAAATAATAAAACGAGGTCTGTAATTATGACGAAATGAAGAGATTGTTCGCTGGCAGCCCTTGCTGAGCTTTGAATGCGGTAAATTATCTGTCACTCTCATTCGTAGTCAAAATTCGTTCAACAAAGGGATCTCCAGTCCAACCCTCCCGAAACATTGTCTCCAACTCGGGATTCATGCGTTGTTTTGTTTGATATTATTCAATCTCGCCGATTCTCGCTCGCCCCCCAAATTTTCTGCACTCCTGATGGATGCATTTCATGTTCTAACTTCATTTTAATAAATGAGTATATCAACATATATCAACTCCTTTTACTAAAGGAGGAGCCTGGGGAATATATCGAGGAAGAGCTGCAGAAAGTGCATTTTCTGGCCTATTACTTCTGGATATATGATGGTGTATGATTAATTCAGAGCAAATGTTATTTATGTGCTAGAAGGATTCGAAAGGGCTAAAATTTCTAGTTTAATTTCTCCACTCTATTTGCTCTGTTTTGTGATGCTGGCTTTTGGTGGAAGTGCACTTTTATGCGAATTGCATCTAAAAAGTGCATTCCGGGAAAATCTGGCGATTTTGCATACTAAAAGACTTCTGACTAGTTATTGCTGTAGCTGAATGTCGGTCGTTCTCCCAGTTAAATTATTTAAGACGGACATTTTTCATAGCGCAGCAAGGAAAGGTAAGAAAAGAGCGACTGATGAAAGTTTGATGCGATGCCGATTTGTTAATGTATTCAATTACAATTATTATTTCAATTATTGACATTATAAATATTTTTTCGCGAGCGTAAATGTAAATAGAGCAAATTAAACTTAAAGGAATTACAACATTTTTTAAAGTAATACAATTATTAAAGCTAAATCACTGGACAACAGCCGCTGCTCTCATTATAACCGTTGACTAGAGTTTAAGATATTTTACTCAAGCTCAACTCGAATCTAAACTGGGTTTGGTTCTTTCGTGAAACTAAAGTTCTTTCGTGAAACTTTGCAAACCCATGCCTATATAGAATTTTTATGTTGAAAACCATTTTATTACAAAACACCCGGCACGTGACCACGATTGACCGATAGAGAAACATTGATCGTTCATTAATCAAAGCGAGCAACAGAAATTGCTGTTATTAATTTGATACCAAAACAGATAACATAGAGCCCGCCAATATAAAGACTTTGGCATCTGACCATTCCTTTGTTATGTCGGTCATCATTCCTTAGGTAGTTATTTTCATTTAGTTTCAGTAGGAAACAAAGCTGCCTCAATTTCTAGCCCTGGACAAGCTAGCAAACGCATTTATCATTGTTTCTATGATGTTTTTCTTCCTTTTCGGGAATGAGAAATAGTGATAAATGCCGTAAGTAGCCTTTCCAGAACTTGCATTAGGAGCTGTATTTTACACTGAAAATACGACCTCTACTGCTGCCTAAATGATTTGAACCGTTTTTCGACTTTTGGATTAGATGAACTGGACTATCCTAGTCTGTTAAAGTTTGGTTAGTAAAAGCCTCCAAACTCTATTGCTTGGCTCTTAAACTCTTGGCAAATATCTCAAATTATAGATATCGCTTTTGCTGAATCATTTGCACCGCAAATTGTCTCAATTTCTTGTAAAAAGTCGGCCAAACTTCGACACAATCTAGACCGCAACTTGAAAGACATCGACTTTAACAGAAGTCTACGTTTCGAGAAAGAACTTTACGCCTTGGTCCAATACGCCATTAAAACAAGGAAGACAAAAGGGGGAACTGACAGATTAATCGACACCTTCGAGAAAAAGGGGTCTCCATGTCTGGACCTGAGGACCGTTGTAAGAAATGACAGTTTGAAGAGGCGTAGGGCCCGATCTTTATACGTACCTACATCTTTTATATTGTTTTGGACATAGTCAATTACCTGGAAACTTTATTACGGAAATCTGCTTTCAAATTTCTGGATGCGAATTTTATAAATGGAGCGAAAGGACATTTGATTTATTAGAAATGTTGTTGACTTCATGAAAAGTAGGTCGGTTTTGAGAGCTATGAGAAGAGGTTAGCTTCGAGGCACTTCCCAAGATGCGAAATATGCCAGAAAATAAAATAAAAATTCGATTGGCTGGAAGCCTGACAAACTTAATAGTTTCAAGCATTGGCATCAAATCAAATCGATTGCCTAATTAGGAAAATTGAAAACCTGAATGTATGCAATTGGACAAAATTAATTTATCTGTCCGTTTGCGTGTTTTTTAAAGTAATATAAAACAATTTACCTGAACATTTGACCGAGAAAGCAATTTGGCACTAATTCAAACCAACTATTTGCAAATCAAAAAGATAAATAAGCTGGATGCGTTGCATCAAATGTAAATAAACATGATATTGGTGGCTCTTTATTGCCTCGATTTTCGAACATAAACTATGCTAATTAACTAAATAAATATTCATTACGGAAGCGAAACTGAATCGAGGACAATGAGAGCTTAAAATGTTCGGCGAAATTGCCTTTTCTTAATCGGTTTCTGGTTCACATGGCCAATTTTAGCTGTTGGTATAATTGGAATTTGTAAATGTGCAAACTCTCGAGATTGTAGATGTTTGTTGATACCTTTATTAACGTTTCATACGCACGCGGGACACTGAATCGATAGAAATTGCTGAAAAATTCCATACACAAACCGAGCATTTGCGGCAAAATGGCAAATTCCTGTTGCATCGACACTGCTGTTAATTACGAGCTTGTAACCTCTAGAAGTTCCCTGGAGACCAATTTCAAAATTAAGCTTGTAGCTACAAGACATTAAGGCTCTGGAGACAAAGACATTTGCTGGCAACGATTTAATGTTGTTACATTGGGCACAAACGGAATTCCAAATTATATTCATATATCTTAAGCTGTCCGACTACCCGTCGCTCCTTATGATCACATCGTCGTCTTTTAGCCATGTAAAGTCGGCTTAGTTATCCGAAAACTTGGCAAATCCCCCTTAATCCTCCAGTGGAAAATTAATTTTCTCTGCCAAATTTACACGTTATTAAAACCGAGATTTCCCTCTCAGTTGACACAATTTGTAAATAGAGGCTCGGTAATATCATATAAATCCCGTTCGTTCCATGCATAATTGAAATAAACCAGCATCGTTATGGACGAGCAAACAGTCGGTTATACTGGTAGGCACCCCCGTAAAATTCAAAGAAGGAATAAGAGTTTTTTCCTGTACTTTTTGCAACCCTAAACAAAAGCGGCTGGGCGACAAAGACCTGATTTGGCAGTCAATATTTCAAACGATCACTTTCGGGTTGTCTCTATCTTTCAGTAGCTCTCTACGCATTTCGAAGCTGATAGTCTAGTGGGAAAACACCTAAGTGAAAAAGTTTACCCCCATTAATATTGGGACGCGGTTTGAGATTTCCTTTAGGGAATTTTCGCAAAATTGTCAATATTATTTTGTTAAGATGCAAAGTTTCTGAACAATTTTCGTCGAATTTTTTGGTGCATTTAATTGTTCCTAAGGCGTGGTGCATTAATTGCGCTTAAGGCGACAACGTCTGGTAGTAAATCTGCAAATTTTCGTTTCACTATTTGGCGGATTTTTTTTATTTCAACCTGTGCATGTCTGAATTGAAGTGGCTGCAGCAAAAATTGGAAAGTTCGGATCGTTTCCTAAAAAAAAGGCAATATGCTTTGTTCTCTTATTCGAAAGCTTTCAAGCCGGCCAATTTGATTGAATCAAAGCTTTTTCCTTCAGTTTTTATGCAGGTAGAAGGAATAATTCGTATTCTTTTTCAAACATTTTCTCTAACAAAGTTTTGAATGTATGTGGATCGAGCCGTTCCAAATCCGGACTTCTTTCAATTCAAATTCATAGCGAAGAATGTTTCATGTCAACATTTGAAATTTAAAAGAAAAAACGGCTGTTAAGAATAGAATTGTTGCTTGAATTATTGGAGCATTTGAAGTTGAGCCCAGTAAAAATTATGATTCCAAGGCACTTTCCATCTTCACGAAACTTCAGTCTGCAGCGATATATTT